CTCCACTCCCTTCTTCTTAACACACACACACGATAATTACAGCACCAGACAATTACCCAGCATACTCTTGGGATGCAGATTTTGTTCTCTTAATCGGGTGTTTTAAATAATTAAATGCAACCGTGAATTCCTCTTGTTAGCTTGGCTCAAGAGGGCATGTTTATTTATGTGTATATCTCTAAATGTATCTTCTTGGTTGGTTTTACATTTTTTTTTTTTTTTTTTTTTAAAAATCTCATGGTTCCTTTCCTGCCAATCAGTAGCAACATCAAAGAACCACCAACAGTTTTTCACTTCACAGATGTCTTAAAACGACGTTGGCGCAATATTACCACTTACTTCCCAGATAAATTGCCTTTGGACTTTTTGTACGTCTCACTTCTCTTTTGACTCCTTCATGTTATTCTTTGACAGGGACAACCAAGTCGTCCTTTTTTTAACTGAATTTGTGCCCGTCAAGCATATGTCAGCCGTGTGGTATGAACATGCATGCCTGTAAGTGTTTCCTTTGTGGAATAATTCAGTATGTCTGTTTTCATCAGCTAAAAAAGAAGAGGAGGATCTGGAGGATAAGAAATCCATTAAGAAGAGAATTAAAGAGCTCAAAGTGCTCGATCCCAAGATTGCACAAAATCTTTGTAAGTAACAGTCTCTTCATTTCCTCTTTAACCCATTGCTGTTAAGCTACCTATTGACACATAGCTGTTTATAATCTGTTGTTGCAGCATCGGGGGGGAATTCTGTTTGTGTTTTTTGTCACCATTTAGTGAATTTAAAGTTTCTTTTATTCTCTCAACATCTCTCCCATGCTAAGAGTGAATGGGAAATGGGACGAAGTTATGATTTGAGGAAATATTTTTTAATCTTGTATTTTTAAGAACAGCAAAGGAAAATGAGCTGAAAACTAATTCTGGGAACACTGTGTTCACACTCGATAGTCACAGGATCTAGCCAGATAAAAAGGCCTTGAGTTAATCTTTGGAGATTTTTTTGCTCATTGCACATACAGAGGGCTTCTGACTCTTGCATGTTATTGGGTCACCTTCCACTCATTGCTCCCTTAAGGTCTTTCATGTTTATTCAGGTGCTATTTCAACAATTCTGTATCCCAAGTCTGCAAATCCTGTGTTTTAGATGAGTTCTTCCTGTCTGCCGCTGTATCTTAATTATGTTTTCAAAGAAGGAAAATATTTTCTCTAAAAAGTAGCACTTTTTTGCATAAAGGACATAGGTATCTTAAGTCTTTCCAATGCCATGTGTCCATGGTTTTAAATATTTTGAGACTTTTAAATTTACAGATATTTTTGTCCCTTAGCCTTTCTATATGATCACTAAGACCCACATCAAAGCTATAATCTCTTGGTCTGCCCAAACCTTTGCTTTGCATTTTGCAGTTTTTCCGACTCTAAAACTGAAAAAAGGGAGAAAAAAAAGAAATATGCTGCTTAACGTTTAGAAGATTATGAACTATTCACAGCAATAGATACTCTGAGCAGGGGTACCAAAACTATTGAGCGCTACTTTGTGTGTTTGCATGTTGTGAACCTGGCCTTTGATATCGATGACTCATCCCTTCACATTGGACTAATTATCAATGTCGAGGACCCATTAAAAGAAAGAAGAAAGAAAAAGAAGGCAAATGTTGCACTGTGTGATTGTTCTCTCTCTCTCATCTCATTTCCACCTCTCTTTGTCTCACACACTCTCTTTCACACACACACACACACACACATATGTGCTTGGCCTTAAAATGATCGTTTTAAAAGCACCCAGCATTAATGAGGATCCCGCTGATCTCTTAAGCACTCTCAGATCTTAGCACCTCATTGGCTTATATCAAGGGGAGCTGTGACCTTTGTTTCATCCATTAAAAGAAAATGGGACTAATCAGCCCCATAATAGTGATAAATCATGCAGCAGGAATTATAAAGCTGGAGCAAGGGGCCAAAAAAAGAGATAGCGAGGTTTACGTATTCAGCCTCGGGAGGGAAAGACTCTAAAAGCTTTGATTGAGGTTGAGAAGGAGTGTGTGATGTTTTATTTATTCAGTTTTTTATAAAACTTTTGCGAGATTCATGTGGTTCTTGTAAGTCAGTGCGAGTGTATTATGTATTATCAGTTCACTAAAGTTCTTAATAGTCATTAAAGAACTTATGCCACACGCGTATGACTGCATAGATGTTGTATAACCTAAAACGGACTGAACTGTTTAACTTGGCTATTTAGAGGAAAAGCTTTGAAGAGCTACTGCAAAAGTGTCAAGTAAACATTTCTGTTAAACTTTTAGGCTGCTCTTTGATAAGTAAACTTTAATTCTCACATGTACTCTGTGAAGTCTATTGTTAAGGTTTTAAAAAAATATATAGTCTTAATTTGGTTCAAAATAATTTGATAGGTCAATTGAAAACAACCTACTTCCAACTAAGAGGTGAACTGGCTTCTGGTAGATTTCTACTCTTGAATAATTTCCTCATAATAATAGGTTGCTAACTGTAGAACATTAGTATGTTTAAAGGGCTCATTCTATCCCCTTTAAGTGGTTATTTAATAATTTTCTGATGTTTTAGATCGTATTATACCTAAAAAAAAAAAGAAGAATTACAAAGGATTTGTAAACTGACGGTACACTTTACATAAGTACAAACATCAATTTAATACTAGTCAGTCAGGGCCAAATTGAATAAATCCCTTGAAACGGCTTCAGTTTATGTTTTTGCTTCAAATAACTTTAGCGAGAGGTCGTAGAACATAATCTGACATCAGTTTCTAAATCGTCTAACAGGGTGCCACTTTAATGCCACTCGTTTATGTATTTAACCTGCCATTTTTTTTTTTACAAAACCCCAAATCTGAATGTTTCAGCATCCTGCTTATGCAGTTCCTCTCAAAGTTTCTGGAGTATGTGCATTAGATTAAAAACAAGTTTTTTTCCAGCTCAGGGTACAAATTGACTTTAATCAGTGATGTGTTATAAAGCCTGACAATGTTCGAAGAGAAACACCATCCTGTTTTCAAAATTTCTTTTGCAGTCATTCAGGGTTCCACCGTACATCATGTGAAGCAAATTTATGTCACTGTTTTTACTCCAAAAACACAAGTAAAGCCCATTTTTTGTATCTATTTATTGCTAATAATCTTTCAAGTTTTGCATCATTCTGATGGGGTTTGTAATAACTTATTGTGATGAGACATTGACTCATTCTTTCTATTCCTCCCTGAGGATTTGTTGTGACTTTTAAAATCTAATGTTTCAAAACTGTTTTATCCCTGACTGGCTGATGCACTGATGACTTCCCATTCATCTGATTCTTACATCGTTCTCTTACAAAGTTATTGATAATGTATTTTTATTAGTCATATTTCTTATTCTCTATCCTTTTTTTTTAATTAACTCTAATTTTCTTTCATTTATTGGTGTGACCGGCCAATCGTTTGTCTCTTTTTCTTTTCTCAAGCAATCTTCCTGGGTTCCTTCCGTATGCCTTACCAAGAAATCCGTCGAATGGTAGTGGAGGTGGATGAAGAACAACTCACAGAATCCATGATCCAGGTAGGACGAGTTGCGGAAACAGCTAAAGTCTGATCGTAATTAGTCAGAAGAAGAAAACAACGCTGGAAATGGAACTCGAGCCGCAATGTGCAGCTCTTCACCCGAGGCTAGGTGTGGATTTGAGCTGCCCTTTTCCTACACAGTTCAGTCAAGTTCATGCCCTAACTCTTGCCTATATTCTTAATTAGCCGTGTACCTTAAAAAAGCACAGAGCCTGGGGCTAAAGTCTTGGGCATCTGTGCATCTGCTGTACAGCAGGTGTTGAAGCAGTTGGAGAGATCAACAATTCATAAATACATCATTACTAAACTGACGTTTGTTAAACTTTATTTTCTTGATGCCGCTCATCTAATCTGCTGCTCAGGTTTGTATTTAGCTTTTTTACCATTGGTTTTGTTAGCTTTTTTGCAGCACACTGCTTTAAAACGTCTATTTTTTTTTAAATCTATTTATCCGCTTATCATTCACTCCATCTCTTTGCCTTTGTTTCTGTCCCTTAGCAGGGATTTGTGGTAGACTTCCTGAGCACTATCACCGTCAATTGTTGCTTTTGTTGCTATTGCTTAAAGTTGCAGTAACGGCCGTCACTCCTCATCCTACTTGTTGGGTTTGTTTGGCAGAATGCGATCATCCTCTGACAAGTACACTTCTCACCCAAAATAATAAGGTTGTCACTTGGAAAATGGGCATTTGTTTCCTTGTTGACTTTCAAATTCTGTAAAACAGTTTTGCCTGCTCTCCTCACTGGTGGAAAAAAAAAGTCACTTTGTGGTGATGGAGTTTTATGACAGATGAGGTTCTCTGCTTTGGCTCAGTTTTCGAGCTAAAGAAGAAAGTGAACTGTTGCTGATACTCTGGTATCAGGTATTTTTCTTTAGGTTGTGTTGTAGAAATGTTGGACCGAAATAAAATTTGCATTTTATTTATATGCCTAAATCAGTTTAAGATAAGGTGGTGATGTTAAAATACCGACTGATGATTTTTTTATTCTATTAAATTACTCCTTCAGGTTCTTAAGTGTCTAACCCAGGCTGAAACAATAAAAATAAACCTGACCTACTAATGCATTAATGTGTGTAGCTCAATGAGTTTGAAGTTGAATTGCTTTTAGAAGTCAAATATCTTTTAGTCGTTTGTGGACTTGCAATATTAAATAGCAAATATCTGAAAAAATATTTAAAAAAGAAAATAGTGACCAGATTAATTGTGTGAAATACCACATTTGTACAGTCAGAGGGCAGCTATGCTTCTGATAAAACAACAGTCTACTCAAAATGAAACACTCGCTTTTTGGGCTCATTAAATCTTTTTTATTTTTTTAAACAAGATCAAGAAATTCGGATATGGAATTAAATTAAATGAACCCTGACCAGATTCTGCTGATTAATAAAAAAGCATGGTGTGCTGTAATGATTGCCTCAAGTACTCTCTTTTGACGCCTTTTCTCTGTTTGCAGAACCTTGTGAAGCACCTTCCAGAGCAGGAGCAGCTTCACGTGCTGACCAAGTACAAAAACGAGTATACTAATTTGTCAGAGCCCGAGCAGTTTGGGGTTGTGGTGAGTACACCATGGCACACAAATGCACCCACTGACAGCAGAAAGAAAGTGTCCACAAACGGCTAGCTGGTTTGAACCTATTTTGTGTTTTGTGCTACTTCTTTCTGGGTGCCTCTGTAAAAATCTTGCATGCACACTCGGAGGCAGGCACATTCTGAGAGCCTTCATAAGATTATCATAATCCAGAGCTTTTTAAAATTCTGTGTTTTTGGGATTCAGAAAGAAAGGCGGCACACCTGTTGTCTAATTTATTCACATTAAAGAGCAGCAATATGCTGGTATCATTTTCTTAAAACGCTTCAAAAGGAAACGCATTCAGAATTATGCACAGGATGTGCAGCAGGTTTTATGTGTTTTGTGTTGCAAGCAACCAAGAAACTGACAAGATAATCTACTGCTTTTGCCTCATATTTTTTGCACCACCATGAAAGAAACCAGTTTGATGGATGGCGGAACCTGTTCTGCCTTTGTGTTTATGGTTCATTAGGGAGACATAGAACAGATAAAAACCTTTTTATATACTTTGCCTGCGTGGGGCAAGGAAGTGTGTGTGCTTTCAGCCATCAGAAAAGCAGAAGTTGTGGGGAAATTTGAATTTGCTGTTGTGGCAATATGTGCAGATTGCTGCTTCTGTTTCAGTAACTGCCATCACCGCCGCTGATTTTGTGCTCCACGTTGTTTTCCTGTTAGTTGTAATGTCTGTTCAAAGTGATAGACCACAATGCGTCGCAGTATACAACATTTAAAACTCGTTCATGCAGTGTTACCCTCTTCAGTTGGACTTGGAAAAACGAACAAAACTGTTATCAGTGTTTATTTTGTAAACATAAGCAATTAAAGCGCACTTAACAAAGTTAATTGCAGAGTGTCGTAAAGTGTTAAATATACCGTGCAGCCACAGATCACGTGTAAAATGTGCTTTAAGTGTGTTACTGGAAATAAGCCTCTCAATCTCACTCACAGTTTGCTCTCTATACTGTCATAGTATGTTGAAAAATTTAACTTAGCAGTTTTTTTTCCCAGCTCCATTCATACGCTTGTTTATATTTTTAATCAGGGTTTCATTTCTGAATAATCTAGTTTCCGGACCACAGGTGGGCTCTGGCCTGTCGGTTCAGGAGGTAAAACTAAAAGCATTTTCTTTTACCTGGAGGACAGTGAATGAATAAATGAGCCATAGGTTTGGCCTGGAGGCAAAGAGTACAGCTGGTTCCTCATACCCTTCATGCTTCCTTTGTGTGAATGTTAGTTATTGTCTAATTATTTAATGTTGGCCTGAATAAATAATGCCCTATTTGAAGTCGCAGCTCTGTTTACTTCGGTTTAAACAGACCTTGTTCGGGATGCTGCAGGCACTCTTTGGTGCATTCTGCGATTTTTTTTTTTCTATTGTGGTGACCTTCCAGACTACCATCATCTCTCCCTGCGTTTCCAAACGTCCAGATTCGATGATTGAGTTCATACATGAATATTGACACTTCTTACCACCAATCTAAACCAAATTCAAATAGCAAATATGAATGAAGAAGAGCTCCCGCTGGACATCTGGCAGAACCACAAAGTCAAGGTGAAGGATGAGCAAAAAAGAGGCTGTTTATTCCCAGTAACACCCTTTATTTATGGGTTTGTGGATGAACCGTGCAAAAAGAAACGCATTGCAAAACCTCCAGTGTTGGATAACTCTTACTCGACACTTGCTACTTTGCCAGTGAATGAACTCAAACAAGAAGTCAAAATTCTATCAAAGTATGTGCGCCAGGCACAAAGTGTTGCCAAACAATATCTCAAATTGTCTTCCTTTCTCTTGTTGGGTCAAAGTCACAGCAGATTGGACTACTTTTTTCATGAACAACCTCACAAGGTATATTTTCCAAAACTTTGTCTTCCTTTTCTTCCGTAAGAGCTCATCCTCACATGACAGAAACACAACATCTCAACGCCCTTGGTAGCCTTAATTAAAACCACCACTGCCCACTCGTGCAGTGAAGCTGCAGAGGTGTTTTTTTCTCCCTTTCCTTCCCTTTCTTCCTGTTATCTCTTCAAACCGGTATCCCAATTGCATAATTTATCCCATCTCTGGTCATCATTTCAGCATTGTTTTAAGAGTTCCTAATTTTATCACGTAATTTCCCTCTGTGTTCTCTCTCTCTCTCTCTCTCTTCCATCTTCCATCCAAACGTGCTGACGCACACTCACACACGTGCATAAACATGCTCAGTCAGTTGCTGAAATAGTCATTTGATAAGATTACAGTAGCCATAATTAAACCCTTGATGGAGGACATCAAACCGCACAGCCAGCTGTTGTGTGAAACAGACAATTGGAAAGTGCCCTCCCCGCTTCTACCCCACACACGTACACAATCACGGTTGTGGCCAGGTCTTGGGCTCAATGCAATATTTTCCAATTTCCTCTAATTGTGTGAGAGTGGTAATTCAAGGCAGCCTATTGTATATTCCACCCCCTCCACCGCCTGCCCTATATGGACACTAACTCCACAATTAACTTACCAGACCCAGGTCCCAAATCAAATCACTGCCAGCATCTATTACTAGTGCCTAGCAACACTTTCCAGCATGCCGGTTGCATAAATGTATTCTAAATTAGATCGACTTAATGTGAGAGTCTGAAAAGTGTGATTGTATATTTTTAAAGTTTGACTGTACTCTGTGAAGTGAGTCTCTTTAACATCTCCTCCGGTTTCCTGCTATTTTTTCTTGCCTTTTACCGTAATTCCACTTTTCCTGACGCCCAACTTTTCCATTACTTTTTCTCTCCTCGCAGATGAGCAGCGTGAAGCGGCTGCGACCTCGCCTCAGCCATATCCTCTTTCGGCTGCAGTTTGAGGAGCAGGTAAACAACCTGCGTCCAGATATCCTGGCGGTAAACGCCGCGTGTGAAGAGGTCAGGAAGAGCCACTCCTTTGGTCGATTATTAGAGCTGGTGCTGCTGCTGGGGAATTACATGAATGCCGGCTCTCGAAACGCCCAGACCTTCGGCTTTGACCTCAGTTCTCTTTGCAAGGTAAGGGTCGTGATGCTGACCGCAGGGTTGACTGTTTACATTCAGTGTATATTTGCCTATCCCTGTAGTTGCAACGTTTTAACATACATCAAGTCAGACACGTTCGATAAAGCTCTTGAGATGAAGTTCTTTTGCAGGGATTCCTAACAGTTGTTTGCAGGTGGACACTTCTAACAGCAGTAGTCTCTTTTCCTCTACACTACATTGTCTCTTCACGACTCAATGCTTCTTTCATATTTCAGTTGTTCAAGAACCCTTTTATTAAAACAATAAATCACAAAATGGGTAATTGTGTTCTCGTTTTGAATCTACAGTACGAGCCAAATTTTAAAAAAATCAAAGGAGAAAAACAACCTTAGCATCTCTCTGCAGAGAATGGCCTCTCTGTATTGTTTGAGCTTCATAAATAGACCTGTTTTTCTTTTATTTTTCTCAATTATTCTCCACCTTGTGAGTGCATCAACATCAGCACCACCGAATGGTCTCTTTTCGCTGTCTCTGGCTTCTGTTCAGACTCAAGCGGTTCAAACTTTCTGTTCTCCCGCACAGAATAGATAACTCAGGCTACAGCCACAATCTCTTGGAAAAGTCGCACTAAAGATGCTTGGAGGTTTTTCACTACAAATACTCGTACCTGTGGATTTTGTTGGCCATTAAGACCGAACACTAAGTTTCTCTGTGTGATAGTGATGCTAAGAACAGAGGGTAATCTTTGGATATGAGACTCCTCCAGTGGTTACATTACAGCTTTTGGCATACGTACTACCGTTTCCACAGTAACAACCACTGCAGCCATTTGTCACTGCCACCTCTTTGCCCCGTTATACTTGGATGATTATGCTCATATAAACACCAGTGCATGTGCCAAGCATGGATTCACACACACATGATGGATTAGATGCATTTTTATAGCAATTATATAATCAATCAATAAGGGTCTATTACAGATGAATGCCTATGTTTAGCATAAGGCTGTTGTTACAGGGTGTCAGTTGCTTTCTCCTCAAGCTAGTGGTGGTGAGTTGATGTCATATGCAGGATATGTATAGGAAGACATCACCTTCAAGACTGCTCCAGTTTGACAACTTAATTCCACGGCACACTCCACAGCACAAGAAAATTGCACCCAACCCAACTGGAAAAAACGAAATGTTTATATTGTCAACCATGATTACCATCCATCTAAATTCAAAGAGGGACCTTTTGTGAGCCAGCACTTGAAGCTTTTGGAAGAAAAAAAAGGGAAAACAAATGAAAAGAGAGATGAGAGTGTTTGATTAGAGTAGATAATGCAAACATGATTAAACCCAGCGGGTCTGAGTACACTGCTGCCTACCAATAGATCACCTAGAGAGATACACAGCAACAGGCTCCATGGGGGGGACACTCGGTGGGGATACAACGAGACGTCAGGCTGTAAAAGAGCAACGGTGAAAATTTATCAGAGAAATCAAAAAGTGGTTGCATGTGGATGTGAGAGAGGTCATCACGTAGTCAGAATGCATTCACTGCATGAGTACTGGAGTTAAAATCCTCTGTTGCAGAGTGAACACTTAGCACTTAGAAGGCTTGGGTTGAGACACATGTTTCTTTTTCTCATAATATCCAGCAGCTATGACCATCTGTTGTCTACAAAACAGGGGAAGTTTTTCTGTTTTTTTCTTCTTTTTTTGCCATGTTCCCCTTTAACTGGATGGGGAGGGTGAATGGAAACAGAAAAAGAGGGCAGTTTTTGAAAGTTTATTTTTTTTATAAATAGAAGTGACACATTAAAAGGAAACATTTGAATGGCGGAGCTTCACAGCAAAGGGAACTGGCAGTTCAGTTATCCTTTGTTTGTTCTTGTTTTTTTTTTCTGTGACAGTCTGGTTTGGGTCTTTTTGTCCCCATAACATGAAGTTCTCTTCACATCAATACCAAATTCCTCTGAGAGATCTATTCTGAGATTAAACATTTCCATCCTGACTTCAGTGTATTCTTCAAAGATGACAATGTCCCAACTCGCTTGGCTGTAAGGAGGTCACTCCTTAGGTTAGAAACACACAAGAAAATGATCAGATTTACAGTCTCTTGGAGCCACTGGCTTACAGCTCACTAGTCCATAAGAGATTTTCAACAACAGGTTAAAGTGCTCTTCTCTGTTGTCATCAAAATGCCAATGTATGAAGGAGAACCTGTTAAACACATGGAGGTTTCCGCCCTTTTATTAGTTGCTTAGAAAAACTACACTAATGCCAGCTTGTTCTACTTCTGTGCTTAGAGACAAATAGATCTGGGTGGATAATGTGTTGCTCAGTTGCAGCACATTAGGCAGCATGAAGCAGATATATGGTCGATGTGGCCCTTTTAAAACCTTGTTGCACTTTCTAACTTCACTATGTTGGCCTCAGGGCTGGGTATTTTTCGGTGCCTTGCAAACTTTGCCGTCAGGAATGAATGAATCCAGCAAAACATTATATGCTTATCGGTTGGAACACAAGCATTTGTCCCTAAAACATAAAAGATTATTTATGATATTGCTCCGGTTGTAATTTTATCAGACAGCACAAAGTTTCCAAATGATGGAAGGAGTGGCAGCTTCCTAACTCTGAGAAAAGGGGACATTAACAAGATTCAGGACAGTTGTTTGCTGCACACAGCAAGAATTATAGCAGAAATACGTGGAATACACATTAACATCTCCCAATTTGGAATTAGCAACTCGCATATAGAGAAGACACGACTTTTAAATGGAAAATGGGTTGAAATGCGACTGAGCAAACTTGGACTGCTTACTGACTTCTGCGCAGGCAAATGTGGGCAGCTGCAGCATAATGAATCAGTTCAGGGATTAAATCGAACGCTCACAAGGCACCAGACACACAGCTTACATCATTTACTGCAACTGGTGTAAACAGCCACTATCTACATTCACATTACACACAGTCTCTGAGAAGAATTGACACCAAATCACAGCATTATTTCAGGGCCCTGTTCCAGTGGCTGCTCTTCTTGTTTTATATTTAACAACACGATCTGTACAGTTACTCCAAAAAGCAAATCGCGTAGTAAATTAATTGTGTTTACATATTATAGAGCTACCCCCTTAACACAAAAGGGGAGGCCCCTTAGCCTCTCCAGCCTATCCCCAGTTTAATTTCTCAGTCTGTAAAATTGTATTCGATGACAACATACTGTAACGAGCTGCAATGACGCATGTTTTTGTTTGTGTGTGCTCCACGACAGCTGAAAGACACAAAGTCTGTGGACCAGAAGACAACGCTGCTTCACTTCCTGGCGGGAGTGTGTGAGGCCGAGTATCCGGATGTGATCAAGTTTGTCGATGACTTGGAGCACGTGGACCGAGCTAGCAGAGGTACCACAACCACACGTGTGCACACGCCTCCGTGCAGCAGAACCCTGTTACTCTCGGGGTATCGTCCTGTGTTTAAAGGTCTAAAACCCACACGTTTATTTTTATCTGGTATTTAAGCACAGACGGATCACAGCTCACACTGCAACTTGTTCATTTTACACCATCTACCTACCGGTTTCTCTGATGTGATATCTCAGTGTGATTATTGCTGTTAATTTCGGTCTCCCACTGTTGTCGAGTTCCTTCAGCTTTCCGGCATGCTACAGTTTTTTTCACACTTCCTGTCAAATCAGAAACACTGGTCGGGGGGGGGGGGGTTGTTGATTTGACGGTTAAAAAAAAACGAGCAGGGTTTTTAAAAAACATTTTGGTCCATGGTGGCCTAGTATGCCTCCATCAAAGAAATACGGAGAAAGTTCAAGCCACAGATCCTATTAGATAATGCGTCATCTATGGTAACGGGCCATCTAGCCAGCTTCTAGTGATGATGCATGAGCGCCATTGTTTATTACGTTGAAGCATTTTGTAAAAATGAAAATCAGCTATCAAATGTAGCTAAGAGTCTAAAGCAGAACACTGTTACTCTGCCGAAAACAATGCAGGCAACTCACAACAGGTAAAGACACAAAAAAATGTTTAAAAATCCCGTCAGATTATTTCACATACAATTAAATTTCCATTCTTTAAAAATCCACCACTGGCTCTGAATTATTCCCACATTTCCCGAGATGGCAAAACATTTAGCTTTACATGCAGTCCTTTGCCATCTCAGAAACGACCCTGAAATATATTTAATGCACTTGTCTCGTATGTCCTTGGACACTGGGGGTGGATATGAGATACTTGCCCCTCAACATTTAGGTCTAAGCTGTCTTCTGCAGAGCAGTGGAGGCACAGTGAACTTTAAGAGCAACACAAGTACTGCTAATCTGAGCAGCTCATCTGGTGAAGTGTTCACAAACCTAGAGGCACAAAAATAAATACCAGTTTATTTCCTTTTTTCTTTCTTTTTTTTGTTTTTATTTGAAATTGGGTCAAGGTTTCTTTTTTAAGGTTTTCTTTATTTGACACACAGCCCAACGTATTATCCAAAGGTTTAAAGACAGATTAGCTTTCCATACTATGTCTCCTATGAAGCATAATTGTTTAGTTTGATGGTAGTGATGCTACAGGTAATGAATTTAGCAACAACCGGAGCTCTGAGCCTTATGAAAAGGTAGCGAGAGATATGGGTTCCTGAGCCACAGAGACTTTGAATATCATTAAACTTATATCACCTTTCAACATAATTTTATCACGAACCAGGAACCATTCACAAAACAAGATTGTTTTATTCCAGCTCAAGCTTTGTTGGATCATTAGACGTTTTCTGCTCGTCACAATGACTTTTTTGCTACGATATACTCAGTATTTGTGCAATCTCGATGCATAAACGTAGTTACCGGTACCTAAAAATCGGCCGTTCTCCTTTTGCATTCTTTTGTTTTACTGTGAGTTTTATTCTTGCCTGACTACATAGGTATCTCTCTGGGGATTATTATGGGATTAGATGCTTGTTGATTCCATACAATGCATCTTATCAATTGAGTGTTTGATCTGTGCTGTGTTTACTTCATTTTCTCTGCTCTTTGGTATTAACATTAATCTTCTGTTGCACATTTACAAGTTATAGCCAGTGAGATCAGGCCCTTCTGACGGTTTTTTCAGGCACCGGTGTCATTTTAATGTGGACAAAAGGACTTTTTTTGTTGTTTTTTTTCTTTTTATTTATTTATTTTCTTTTTTTTAAGGTGAGTTCACAAACATGGCTCCACACGTTTGTTGGCAAAGTGCTTTTAGTCTGGCCAGTGTCTCTGGAGTACAGTAAAGGTCACAGACAAGCAAGGCAGACTGGGCGGTCAAAGGAGACTCTTTGTTCATATTGCTATAGGCAGCTCTCAGAAAGAAGCAGTGAACAGCAGTCTGCGCACAGTTTGTGTTTGTTTGTGTGGAAGTTTTTCCGTCACAGCGTGTTTCCTCCTCTTCCGAAGACGATTTTTACCTACTGCTCTGCTCCCAGCAGGACAGAATAAAAGAAAGCGTGAGGAGAAGAAAGCAGGAGGATGGATTCTGTGACTTCATTGTTTGGACTTGCTTCATAAGGACTCCACTTGGAGTTTTCTTTTTTTTTTCTTCACTTTGATAGCCTGGAGATAATGACACTCCTGTGGAGTTTCATTTCTTCCAACCATGCCGCATGTCCACAAGCTGTTGGCCAAGTGTCAGAAGTACAAAGTTGGGATCAATGAAAATCACAATCCTTAGATCTTTTTTCGGAGTTTGTCCATCTCTTTACGTTGAGCCTTAAGTATTTTTACATCTGTATGGATGGTAATGGTCGTTCTGTATGTTTCCATACCGTTCTGACATGCTTACATTAAGTGCCTTATTACTCCACATCTCGTATTCAGACAGAAATCCCATTTCCTTTTTAAATCAGGCTTTTGAGTGGCTTTCTTTTGATGAATTCTGACAGGTATTTGAGAGGTTTGTTGCCACGCTAAAAGACTGCGTTGCATTCATACAAGAATCAAAGAGCTTACTTGGGCTTGAAAAGGGGTTGGGTAGAGGTAGCAGTAATTATTTGTCTTGTAAAGGGTGCCATCTTTTGACTGTGTGTAATGCAGCTCTTGTTTTCTCCACTGGCAGCCTTTTTTCTCTCATGGAAGTTTGGAGTTGCTTTGTGCCTGTTTTCTTATTTTTTGCTCCTCTCTGTTCTCAGCCCTGCAATCATTATTTTTCCTGACAGTGAGAGGCAGTTTTTTTGTACAGCCTCTGTTATTTTCCGGGTATCTCTTTTCCGTCCGTCACCACCTCTCTGTGTCTGTTGGGTAGTCCTGTCTGTTTCTCACTCTGGTTCAGTTATTTTTTTTTTTTCTCTCAGCCCCTTTTTATTTCTATTTAATTTTTCTTCCACCATAAACACACAGGGATGTTGTGTTGGATAGCCGCAGGTTCAGGCAATTAGGATGGTTTGTTGATTGGAACTTTGTTGAATCTCATGCTGGAAGCAGACAAATACAGCAGCATATTAATGTGCTCAACCGGGATGCTTCATCATGCAACTTCAAATGCCCCCTGTTGTCTGCAGAGGCATTGGTTATTTGTTTTGCATTATACTAAACAGACATGCCAGCTTAATAGTTATGCAACAGAGATGGGAAAGCTGTTGTGGTTCAGTTTCTTTTCCTTGTTTCTTTTTTTTTTTTTTGGCCCCGAGGAGTCATTAAGGAGTGATGTAAAGACTCAGCTACAATGAGATGGTTCTTTAATATGCTGTTGAAGCTCCGCTTTGTAGTTTTCTGCATGCTGGCTGAGTGATGAGCCTCATTTTTATAGTACTGGTAAATTGAAGGGATTTCTCTGGACGCCAATACACAGACGACCTCGCTCTTTTTGGATTCAGCGCTATAGGTGCTCAGCATGTTTCCTCCATCCCCAGCCCCTGGCAACATCCCTCCAGTTCCACTAGTCTGTCAGGCTTCCGCCTCAGAGGGCAGATCTGCATTTTTTTACACTCTTAATTTCCATATATCAGTAGACGATCTACTGTGGAGCTGAATCTACAGCAGTATACTCGGTTGTGTGCTTCAGATTGTGTCATTTATGGCGCAGCAGGGTAGTATAGTAGTAAAAGGGGATTTTGACCTCTACAAATATTCAAATTATTAATCCTTTAAAAGATCTGATATCTATCTGGAACCTGTTTGAACCACATAGGTTTTAAGGCCCCAGTGGCCATAAAAATCACAAGCGCTTTAATACACAGAATAAGAAAGACACAGCAGTGTAGCCAACAATGCAAGGTAGATTCATAATTCCCCTTTGTTTCCTTTTCTTTTTACTCTGAGGTGGTCACTCAACCTCAATTATATCAAGTAATCACAATCTGCTTTAAAGCGCACTGGTGTTCAGCAAAAACTCTTAACTCCTGATGTTTTCTGAAGAAGCACACTTTTTGTCACCCTCATGTTAGGTTTTGTTCATATGTGTCCCCCTGGTGATGTGTAGTCATCACAAAAACCTGCAGATTGGGCTTGAAAGCAAATGAAATGAAAAGAATAAACACTTTCAGACTCTCGCACTTTTTTGTCCTGCCATCTCGTTCTTTGCTCAGTCAGGGCGTCATCGCATTGGGCTTTAATCATTCCTGTTAACACACTGCCTGTCTTGCCTCTTGTCAGTTTTTCATGCTGCCCACACGCTTTTCAGCCCGAATCGGGTAATGCAGAGGAACAGGAGAGGAGGACTAAATGCCAAAGAAAAAGCGTGCATTGATTGTTAACATTAGGGATGCAAGCAAATGCAAAAGTGTTGTTTTTTATTTTTGTTTTTTTTGTGTGTCTAGAAATAATACATTATATTGTTTATTCCAACCATATTGAGTTTTAGTTTAGTTCAGTGGGTATTATCAGCACATTGAAATAGATGGTTCAAAGCCAAAAACCATCATCTAAATTCAGAGCTATCTCAGTATTTCAGTTTTTTTTATGTGCATTATATGCGGTTCACCGAGATGGTGCAGTATTTTCACTTTGCGGAACGCATTTAGAGTTCTGCTACACTATGGCTTCAGCGGGGCACACATTACACGGTAATCATAAAAATAGTTAAATGTTTAATTGCTTTTGTCAGGTCAGCTGTTTCCAGGAGTCCTCTTGCCACAAGAAGCAGCGTATTTAATAACACTCTGACATTTTCACTGTCACTTTTATTCAACAAAAGTAAACCATGGAGATATGTAATCTGTTTTTTGGAGAAAAAGCCCTCGTCAAAAAGGCAGCATTTAGTTGTTGCCTCTAAGTCATTTCATTTACAACGTTGACTCGCTTCACCTTAAAACAAAATTTGAATTCTGACTGTAGCGAGGCTGTTTGAACTTGACCTTCTCAAAAAGATTCAAAGACTGTGCAGCTTTACTCTGCTGCACAAATAACAGAGCTCTGCACGTTAAGCATTTCCTCGTCTACATATGAAAACACCATGAATTAAGAACAAACTGGATTTTCAGCAAATGCTGTTTGCACTTCATTGTTTTTGGAGGACAGCTTTAAGTTTCAGGCGAGTCTGGTGCATCAAATAAGCAAAAATGTGTTGATCTTTCTTTTCTTTTCTTTTCTTTTCTATTTCTTTTTTAAAGTGGAAGAAAAAAAAACTCCCATTATGTAATCTCTGATATAAACCCTGACTCATTTCATTTTCCACTTATTTTCTTTTCTGTTTTGGGAATGAAGGCACAGATTTCACAGAAAAGAAGATAACTAATGTAAGTTCATGCAGAGTAGTTGCTTTGGGAAACGGGCATTTTTGGGGGGGATTTTTTTATAAGGCTTTAACAAGCGTGTTTAGGGAAAGAGAAGCAGGGAAAAGGCATAACAGATTTTACATTTAGGATCATGTAAGCCATGTATTAATAGAGGTAACTGATGTGTGATAATCGTTTGGCAGGAACCCATGTGGTACACAGTCCGAAATGTTGTTAATATTGACCCCCCCCCCCAAACCCTGTTTTGCTGCAGCATAGTCTGCCCTGGTTTTCAATCATCAGTAACAACAAAATGAAAAGTGCCACCTGCCCTTTTCTCTCAGCCAGCGGAGTGCGTGAGCATGTGTTCGGTGTGTATATTCACCCCCTCACCTTCAACTGCCATGAAAAAAGCTCCACACATACTTCATCAAACCTGTGATATTAAAAAAAGTAGAAAAAAATCTTTAACTTCAGCCACTGCAGACTTTTCTTTTAGCATATTTGTCAAATACGTGTCCAAACCAGTGGGCTGCCATCACTAAATGGGGTTTATTTTAGATAGTCAAAGGGAAGCTTAGCTACATTAAAGGCCTTCTCTCTTTCTCCTTTTTCTTTTTTCTTTTTTTTTTCTTTTCGTATAGCATGTATTAGGATCAAGGGGAAATTTGAAACTACTTAAAGTTAAGCAGCTTACGCTTTTTTGTCAAGCAGGGTCTAATCAGGGTAATTCAAGCCATATGCTATATTCTCTCTTTAGCTTAACATGTCAACCATGACCAACTTAACAGAAAGTTGAGGCTCAGTCTTCCCCCTGCTCTCCCACCTGCGCGATCCATGCACCTGTTGATAAGAGTGGAGTCGAGGGATGAAAGGGATGGAAATGTAACAATCACTTGATTCCACTACAGCATGTGAAGAGGCAGTGCTTTGTATTTATATAAGTGTTTATACCATGCGGAAGGAATAGTAAAAAAAGAATAATGCAAGATGTTCTTTGCCTTGATGTTTATATTTTTTCTCATTGTTAATTCTGATGGTGTTTCTGGCTCTGTGTGAACCCATAATAAGCAGCCTTTGCAGCCTTCCCTGTTATTTCGCTGTGGGTTGCTTCTCACTGATTCTTTGAGAGCCTCGGAATGATGATGCTTTTGATTGTACCTGTAACCGTATTGTCCTCTCTCTGCTTCTGTCTTCCCATTTCCCTGGCATGTGGGTGTGTTTCCGTGTGCTATTCTGACTGCGTGTGTGTGGGTGTGTGTCAGTGTCTGCAGAGAGTCTGGAAAAGAGCCTCCGGCAGATGGAGAGGCAGCTGTTGCAGCTGGAGAGAGACCTGGAGACTTTCTCCTCCCCCGATGACCCTAACGACATGTTTTTCACCAAAATGGCTATATCCTTTTTGCTCACGTATGCTTATGCTCACAGCTCTGGGGCTATATACAGTGAGTTTAATGCAATGACTAAGGAAGAAGTGAAGTCAGAAACGAATTGTTAACATTTATCAATATGGCGCTGCATAGGCAGGAAATAAAGCAGGTTTATCATATTACGTTTTGACAGTTTATACAAGGAAAACCCTGAAAAATCGTCTTGGTCAAACACAGTCCCTTATGTTTACGCAATTACTCATTTCATGTAATAAATGATTTCTTTTTATCATCCTGCTCCCCTATAAATGTAAATTTTTCCCATTTTTCAGTAGGAAAAAAAAAAGGAGACATATGAAATGGTGGTAAAACACAGAGGAATTCAGTACGTACAGTTTCCTTGCCCCTGGTTTCTTTTTCACAGTCTATGATGTGTACAGGTTATCAGTGCTCCCTTCTTCCATAGTCTCATTATTGAGTCAGCCTGCCTCTCAGCTCTTTCTAAGACTAAGCACAACTTAAAAATGAGAAGAAGGGTTTGAGAGGGAGAATTAGGCCCGCCACTCTGTTTTGTTCCGGAGGTGTCAGTCAGCGCTGTTTATCCCTGAAGAGGAGCAATTTATTACCTTATTGAGTTGACATTTACTTACAACAAAGCGCTGAGATGCAGACACACAAACGCGCTGCTCCACTGTCCGTTTGGGATATCTGGACCCAACGCTGACAGCTGTCTGTGTTTGTTTGACAGCGGTGTAAATTATTTAGTCTCGTCTGAGGTAGTTCCACAGGATCAGGCTGACAGCTATGTCTCAGGCCAGGTGTGTTCAATAATACACTGTACCTTGCCCACTTCATGTAGTTTTGATCAATAGCCCAGGGGTTGGAGCACTGATGGCTTGTGCCTTGGTGAGTGCAACACAGATGAGGTTCACTGAGAATGAATTTGAAAGATTGGTCTTTCACTGCGTTGTACTGCAGTTCCTGGTTCCCTCCACAGATTGCCCTCGAATGGATTGAGAAGGAAGTCAAAATTAACACTGTGATGTGATATTGAAGAAAGATTGTTGAGGTTAAGATACATTTATGTTGAGTTGTATAGTGAATTAAAAAAAGAAAAAAATGTTTCCCCAAAAATAGTCTATTACATGTATTTCTCCCTAAAGGTCTCAAAATAATTCATTATTTCACCTTAACCCCAGGTGGATTACCTCAGTTAACAATTTCTTTCTTAAATAGCATAGTCACTATAGATTAAGTAAACTATGCTAACTAAAAGCTTGAATTATGAAGCTTCTTCAAGTCAGTTCCGTCTCAGAGTTATGGTGCCGTTATATTTTTCAGAAGATGCTTCACCGCCTGTTGTGAGGAGTCTTTTTTGAAAAGGAATGCAGTCCTCTTACAGTTGCACAAACGGGAGCTGTACCTGCAGCTGATGTATTTTGCCGGCGACGCTGGTAATTTCGCTCAATTTAAATCTGAAGTCACCAGCCAAACATGAGGAGGTGGGGATGTCACATAGGTGAAAATTTCATTTTCACTTCACGCGCCACTCGAGTATAAAGTTACTCTGTTATTGGTCCAGTGTTACACTTCTGAGCCCAGGCTTGTGGAAGGTGGCAGATTAGAGTAGAGAGAACCAGGAGGGGGATCGACAAATCAAGAATCAGGGACTGAAGTATGACGGAGGTGGTGGTTGGGGAGTAAAAGCTGCAGCAAAACTTCATTATCTGGAATAGGAGAAAAATCACGAGCGGGAGAAGAAAAGGAGAGATATCACCCTCTAAGATACTTATCAACCACAACTCTTGTCTTTTTTTTCATCTTTTTTCCCCCCTACCACTCTGACCTTCCGAATGCTTCTCTCCCCCAAGTTTCTGGCTTGGAAACATATTACTGACAAGTCAGTCTGGGAGGAGTGCCTATTGAGCAGCATTTATCCAGCTGTGAATAGGTAGTCTCATCCCCCAGCCAGATTCAGCTGAGGCCAAACCTCAAATAGGTCCATCAATTGAGCTGTAATGAAGGAGCACAATAGGAGCCCGAGAGGCTGCCCACACACACTTGTGATATCAAACACACACGCACATGCAGTCACTGTCCCTTCTTATCTGCCATGAGACAACTCTTGTCAGAGCCATTAAGCAGAGCTGTTAGTTAGGAGAAAACATACTCCGGGATTTTTTTTTTTCCAGAAAAAAAATTAGGTTGATGTTGTAACATGGTAAAATTGTTTAAGATGAATTGTAAAACGAATATTGACTCATAAAAAAGGGTGATTGCGTTATAGCAATCAATAGAATAGAATTGATAAAATCAAAGCTAAAGATCCAAAATCATATTAGTGACGGAAGATTTCTACATATTTTCCATCTGAAGCCTGCTGTGGATTTTGTGACAGACCGGCCCGACGGGTGCTGTTGTGCCCCGGTGGGTGGCACCATGTGGCTCAGCTCTTTTTTTTTCCTTTGCTCCACACTGACAACTCTGCAACACTTTTTGACAGAACTATTACAGGACGGAGTAAAGAGGGAGCTTGAGCTCACTGGCTCCTTCTCCACGATTTAATAGTGCAAATAGCATCCGTGTCCTGGTCAGTGTCGGGCTTGACACGGAGCTGCGGTAGGTCATTATTACCTCTAGGTGTAGACCTAGAGGCAGAACAGCCTTAGTGCGTTTGCACAAGTAAAAGCTATGCAAAGAATCGACGGGCTTCCCTACCCTTTTATTCTTGGTAGTTTGTCATCCCTCAGCTCTGAGGCACTGTTGAAAAATGAGCGGACACGTTTTTATTTATTGTTAGAACTGTTGCACTTATTTTTTCCCACTTCCACAAAAAAAAAAAAAAACTAAAACAAAACAAAACCCCACCAAGCAGTCATCCACAGGAAAGAAGCGAAGAGGATGTCATGATGCCTCTCCATGATGACTGTACATGAAATCTGTTGAAACACCTCTGTATTCATCCTGCCTGTGGTAAATTCGTTTTTTTTTCAGGACCTGGCTGCTGCCAGGCAACTTAAGACAGTGTTTGACAGAGCATCCAGTAGGACATTGGGGGAAAAAATAGCTCTCCCCTCAAAAGCTGTGTTCTAAAATATGGCGTCTGTTTTGAAATATATATATATATAGATAAATGACTAAATACTTGAGTTTATATTTGCAGCTAATATTGTGAATGAGGGGTATACACTGTTTCTGCAGCAGAGAAAAAAGGAATGAATCTTGGATGGGAGTAAGCAGAGTTTCTGACTCATTTCCTGATTCAGATCACAGCAAAACGGCCTACGCCTGCTGTCAAATTGGGTGTTGTGCTCAATCATGTTGTCTGTAACGGATCTCATGTGGACCTTGACCACACCCTTCACAGCTTCAGCACCGTCGCTCGGGAGCAGTGCGACAAGCTGGTGGTCATGCACCGCAACATGGAGAAGTCCTACCAGAACATGCTGGAATACTTCGCCGTCGATCCCAAGAAGACCTCAGTGGAGGAGCTGTTCACTGACCTCAGCAACTTCCGCTCCATGTTCACCGTGAGTACGCTGCCTTTACAGGGACAGCCACAGAGCCTTTGCACTATTTGGAGAAAAGATTAGATATCTCCACATCACATGAGGCACCTCCACATTTCTATTCGCTCTTTGCAGTTTTATGTAAAGTGGCTTTCTCTAAAGTGGTTTACAGGCGCAGTTGTTCCTGCTGTCATCTGAGGCGCTGATAAAAAAAAACAAACCTAAAAGCGAAGTGTGTTTGATTCAGGTGCTTGCATGTACCTGTGGCCTGTGAAAGTGAAAGCTTTACTTTGGCGTAATTGCTCGCTCCTTTCAGGTGTTTTTCCCCATTAAGTAGGAAAATTATTGCATTTAGTCCAATATCAAAAGGCACAAGAAAAACACAACGTCCGCTGCTTTACTGTGGTTGGTTCTGATCAAATCAGATAGAATTCTCCTGAAATATTGCGTGTTTGGCAACATTTTCTAGCTTTTGCTGTTTTTTATTCGCTGGCTGAACGGATAAAAATGAAGCAATCTTTCCTTCCTTCATGTTGTTTTCGCATCAGTGCAGCGTAGAATAATGCAAAGCAGAACAGTGGTTGCCCTGTGTCATCCACTCACACACAGACCTTTGTGTCATCACTGAGCTCTTTGGCTCTATGTTGCTCTGATTTTTGAGCTTTGGAGACCTACTGTGTTTAATCAGCAGGATTAGTAGCACAGGCCACTTGGCGTGACTTATAATAGTAGCTAATTAGCCTTCTAAGTTTTTTTCCTGTCCCCAATTTAACATATACCACTCACACACTAATAGATTCTCTGCCCAATTTATTTTGTCTAGTCATTTGTAATGGCTTGTTTTTTTTTTTGTTGTTGGTTTTGTTTTTGCAAAAGTATTTTGTCTCATATTCCTGGTCGAAAATGATGGCAATAGCTAAGTCCTAGCTTAGTCCTTTTCAAAGATAGTTCACATGTTTAATGATATCATAATGATATAAATAGCATCTCATCATAGTTCAGAAATTGCAGCTCTCGTATCAACTTTCTTCCCTCGATGGCACACATCCATTTTTCCCGCATATCTGGATGTGATGTATGTGGTGGATGAGAACGATGTCACATCACTGTAGCGGTGTCTTTACAGCCTTGAAGAAATAGTCCTGAAACTAGTCCCAGAGGCACTGCTTTTATGACCGTTATGTTTCTTTTCTTCTTCATTTGCACCCATTTTATTGATCCCCTTACCTCTCTTTGGTCTGATACCTGCTTCTCTTTTTAGTCACAGCCCAGGTCAGTCTTGGCTGTGTTCAGATTTAAAGCAGGACCAGAGTAATGATGTAAACCGATTTATTTCAATACAAATGTTCAAGGAATAGCAGAAAATTAAACGAATGCCCTGGGTATGAAAAAATTGTTTCATATTACAGCGGCAGTCCTTTTTTCTTTAACTCCATTGCTTTGCTTTGAGTTTTGTTGGCGCTTTTATGCTCTGATCAAACATAACAGGTAATGACTCTGCCAGTGAAAGGTGAACAAGCCAAGTGTTATAAAGACTAGCATTATATGATCAAAACTCCCAAGGCAGCTATTTATTCCCTTGTGATAGGTCAAGGCGTAGGCAGCTTACACCCTCAGCAATTCGCTTAAATTGTCACATCACACCGACACATCTTGGGAATTTTCCAAGGCCAGGTCAATGAACACAGGCATACAGTAAATCTAAGCATCATAACCTCTGGGTCACACCTGTGTCAGCATTTACCCTGCTGTGCCGAGGCCCATGCTAATAGATTTCCAGCCCTTAGCTAAAAGCAACTGGAGCCTTCAGGTATATGTTTCAAACTCATGTAAGTTGTGGGAGAGAATATGTTTGTGTGTACGCCATTCGATCTAAGCATTTTTTTGTAGGAAAAGCTTTTTTTTTTTTTTCCTCTTTCCTCTCCTTCACACACGGAGATATGCACACACTTGCGCACACACGCACCATGCTCAGTCACCCGTAGAAAGGAGACCCAGGGCGAGGCCTTACATCTGACAGAAATCCAATTGAGCGTGTCTAATAGTGGACATCCAGGAGAGGATGAGGGCGAAGCAGACCTGCAGTGATGAAGGAGAGCAGAGGGCAATTTCCTCAGAGCTTGTTCTCTTGTTGTCTCTCTCCTTCATCTCAATATTCCAGCATAAATGAATGTTTTGTCAAAAGACTGAACTCGCTGGGTTTTCGTCATTTCTTGCTTGTCCCCGCAATCCCTCAAATCGCCATTTCTTCGGTTTACTTTCTTTCTCTCTATTTAAATCATTCTTGACAGTCAGTATTGGATTTGAAACTAAATGAAACACACCTCTCTTACACCTCAGAACAACTTTCAAGTTTTTACTTTACTCATTTATGGCTCCGGTAGAAATTGGTTATTTTTTTGTCATTTTTTCAAATGACCCTCGACTTAAAGATTTTGTCTCTTTGCACCAGCACTGCTTTTCATGTTTATACATTTCTTTCACTTCAGTTTAGCCTTTTGATGAAGAGTACTTACTGGTAAATTACTGGTAAATTAAGGAAAAACAAACAAGTAAAACAGGACCCATCTGTATCAGAAGGAATATCATGATTAATTCGAATTAGTATTACAATTGGCAGTCAGTGGTTTGTCATTTATTTTATATGGGTTTTTTTAGCATGTTGGGTAGGTGGTCAGTCCACTGTTTGTCTTTGTTATGTGGGAGTCTTTATTATTAGACTTTCAAGAAAGTTATTATACTTCGTATAGTCTTTTTTTCTTTATTCTTATTCATCTCAATATTCCAGCATAAATTAATGTTTTGTCAAAGGACTGAACTCACTGGGCTTTCGTCATTTCTGGCTTTTCCCCGCAATCCCTCAAATCGGCGTTTATTCGGTTTACTTTCTTTCTCTCTATTTAAATCATTTTTGCCGGTTAGCGTTGGATTTGAAACTAAATGAAAGCCACCACTGTTACACTTCAGAATAATTTTCCGCTTTAGGCTGTCAATCAACACCATCATGGCAGTGCTCCAGAATTTTTTTTCTTTTCTGATATATATATCTTTTTTTCTAAAACGTCATTTGATGTACAAGACGGTGAGTGATCATCACTTGAACCCCCCTATTTGTAGTATCGGTCTGCCACTGATTAATCATTGTCCTGCTTGATTGCTGACAGCATTTGAGAGTCCAGTTTTAAACAAGTTATTATTTTACACTGCTGCTTCTCCTCTGTGGATCTGTATGGTGCTTTGGTATATCACTTGAAATCAAGAGAAAATGAAAAATCCACTTGAATGACCGCAACAAAATCGTGCAGAAATGTTCTTGTTTCAAGTAATGTGGTGGCCTTTTGTAGAAAACTAGAGATGGATTTTTAAATGATGAGTGTTCTGAAGGACAAGACCTTCAAATACATCACCGGATTAAAGTTTTTATACACTGCATTGGATGTAAATTTAAACTGTGACTAGCCACAAATTTCCACAAAAGTTAGCAAGTAAAGTTAAACCTATTTAGTTTTCACAGTGATGAAACCAGTGCAGGTAGCACTGTCTGACGATAAGGCATAGTTGTTAGCAGGATTCTTTGAAAATCTAATTTTCCCTGTTCTGCTTGGTGAGTCTGTGCCCCAGAGCCTCCAGACCAGCAGCTGTTTCGACAAAGAGGGAAGACAGAAGACCGCATCCTCAATGCTTAATTTTCCAAAAACCTCACACCTTGCACACTGGCATTGGCTGGTAATGACAAACCCATTGGCCAAAATATGCCAATCAGAGCAAAATAAGATAAAAATGAGAAATAAACAGAGAGAGAGCAGGGTATCTGGGCACGAGTACACCCTCATACGCTTCATAGTGGGTAAAAATGATGATTCAGCAGAATTACTTGTGAAGAGGTAGGTGCGTCATCTTTTTTAGGGATGATTCTGCTGGAAATACCACATATCTATCCACCAGTGCCCTCAAATGGAATGGAGTATGCAAAAAGATAGCCAGAAATCTGTTCATTTTTACATCTCCTGACATGGATGTTGCAGGAAAATTCTACCATTACTTTTACTGATCAGGCAAATCAGAATAACCTCAAAGCAACAAATGCCCACTGTAATATTGACAAGTTTTAAAAGATAATTGTGTACATAGCAGGTAGGCTTACACTATAATTACAGACTAAAACATTTATGTTTAAACTTTTGTGAATATATGGTTACCACAAGACATTCCATCATTTTGAAGTCAATTCTGTGGTTGTAGTAGCTTTACTTTAGAAATAGTTGAAAAAGAAAGCATCGAACGGCTCGTGCTGCAGTGATTTTAAATGCATGTTCCTTTTCTCAGCTCGCTTTTTGCCTCAAGTTCTGCGCGTCTTCTGAGTGGTAGTTATGTGTGTTCTGGTGCTATTAGGGCTTTGAATGAACAGGCTTTGAAAATATATTTGGAGAAAGTTTTCAAACTTAATCAGCATTTTGTGAACTATGATAACCGGCAAAAAATGTATTAAAGAATTTCCAAATGTTGAAATTTAAGTTCCTTTTTTTTCAGAATTCAAAGTGTTTTGACTTTTGAAGTGCTTTGTATAAGCCCTGTTGGCAGAAGCATTGGATCCTTATGGATAAGAGCTACAAGCTTTGCACATGTGGATAAGGGCAGTTTATCCTTTTCTTTCTAGCAGATCCTTTCAAGTGCTTTGAGATCAGATAGGCAGTGGCTCAACCTTGAATTTAGAGTCAGTCTAGAAATAGTCTAGAGACCTGTCCCAAAACATCATCTTGGTCAAAGGCTTGCTGAATCAGTGGGTTTGTATGTTTCCTACTACAACAGTATGCTTACAGTGCAAACATGAGTTGTTATGGCAGCATAACATGAAGTTTTAGGAACATTCTGTTGGCATTGACATCATAATTAACCTAAAGAAGCCTCAGGTCCTGTATGATATTTATTTGGAAGCTGAATGGAGCAGGTGTGATTTTCCAGACTAGAAGGCTTTATGTTTAAGATAATTTTTAATTTGTAATCTTAAAGAAAGTAGTGAATGACTTCTCTGTTTGAACAGACCCCATTTCTCCAATAGGTTGCATTAGATTTTTCATTATAACTACCAATTGATTGATTGATTTGAGCATTATCGCTGACAAAGGGACATATGGCAACGAACACACACCTCCACCTGGGATCTTGCCTGGGCGGGGTAACAGTGTGTTCAAGCAAATCACCATCCCTCATTTGGACTTCATTCAAGTTCTAGACACATCTCAAGGCTGGTTAAATGTCATGCCTGATCTCAGTTTAGTCTATCCTGACTACACTGTACATTCTGCCTGTTTATAAATCCATTCCATAATCTTCCTGGGAAGTTCCTTTGTAAAAAAAAAAAAAAATCATGTTAAAGAAAAAGGTAACAGTGTACACAAGTGGCAGGTTTGTCAAATAGAATGCACGCAGTTCATACCATTATGTGTACTCAGTCATAGAAAACACAGGATTAAAGCGCAGGTTAAGAGATGGAGAGTTGCATCAAAATGTGAGTGCTGTTTAATGTATTCCTCTGCTAGCAATAAAATACACTTTATTCGTTCAAGTTGCCATTTCTATGTGTTTCAAGTGGCTCGTTGATGGTAATACAACTGATTTAAATTCAGACTGACTGTATCGTTTCTAACAACGGTCACTTTTATGCCGCCTTAATAAGAGGCCGTCTGCTGGCCTCCGAAAATGGCTGTCCCTCTTTAGTGTGCCACTGTGCTTTTCTGTATACCAGTGTTATATGGAGTGTGTGTGTTGTAGTTGTTATGCCACTGAAAAATACAAGCTTTGCTGTGTGCCAATGGCAAGCAGAGGGAATGGGATGGGGGAGGAGCCTTTGTGTTTAATGAAAACCCAGACCCTCTCTAGCGACTGGTTATTGATCAGAATGGCAATCATACTGACTCTCTACTAAATCATATACATTTAGGCTCTCGGCTGTGGCATTAATAAACTAGCGACATTGTTGGAGATGAACAGCAGAGATTATAGAACAAGCTTTTATATTGGTTAATATTTGATAAAGATTATACTGATTGAATTATTCTTCAAATTCTTCTTCTTGGACAGTTTCACTTCTGAGATCACTTATGAAATTTCTAATTTGGCAGTTTAAAAAAAAGTATGGTCTTTTTTTCTTTTCTTTTTTTTGAGGAATGCTGGAGTGTGGTGACTTTGAGTTTTTTACAATTTGTTTCTTTGTCAAGACTTTTAGGAAATGCACGGTTTATTGGGTAGCCAGAAATCGTTGCTCCCTGAAGAGGAAGCACTCAACAACCACAAAAACATAGTTCCTATTTTAGTTTCCAGGCTCAGTTTGAGCCAAATCACTCAACACACTGCATGTTTTTTAAAAAGTACACACATGCAAATGCAACTTACGCTAATCTTTTTCTTCTTCTGCAGTATTTGACTCTTAATGTCTGGTTTATTATTCATATCCTATTATTTGTGTAGGCTTCATATTTGTGATTCTGTCCACTCATTACATAGATGCATATTTTCTAATTTTGCCAACAATGTTAATTTTATAATCAGAATTTCCACCAAAACTAATTCATAGTCAGTTGAGGATTTTGGCTTGTACGGAAAGCTTTCCCATTACTGTTTAACATCCTTTGATGGGTGGATTTCTTTTGTTTCAAAATGGTCAAATTGAGAGGATGTGAAATGATTGAGAGATGCAGAGAAAGAGAAGCATCCAACCTCTTTGTTTTTTGGGTTGTTCATTACAATAAATAACTTATAGTACCTCCAAATGTGTTCAGCAGTGTACCCTGGAATTGGGTGGTAATCCTGTGAGTTAACATGTCGATTATGATCTGCTTTGAGATAAAGTTTTTATTTTCTTTTTTTAAAATGTTTTTAATTAATTAATTAATTTATTTATTTATTTTCTAAATGGACTGAGATATGATTGTCACGGCTGATCTTACATTTTAACAATGGCAACATGGTCCTGAAGTTAAAGTTTAGGATCTGTACACAATAAATCCTCACGGCAAACGAAAATATGTGGTGTGCAAAGACACTGATGAATGGTGTCAACTCCAGAGTCTCTACAGGGAATTTTAAACATGATACCTTTTTGTTATGAGCAGTACCCCTCTGCTTTTGAACTGTATACCACCCACTGTATTCACCCATTGTTCACATGTTAATTTGAAGGTTTAATTAAATACAGAAAAAATAGAACATATGATGATATATTTCCTTGAAAATATGAATATATGTGACACTTAGAATGGAGACAGTGTTCATGAAAAATAGCAACTTCTGCTCATGTCTTGGGTCCATCATTTCTCCACTCCTTATGACTCTCTAATGTCTAAAGATCCCTGCTGAAAAGTCATTCTGTGTCTGGCGAGACCGGGGTGACAGTACACCTGAGAAGCTTCATCTGACTTTAATGGTGCCTGATAAAGATGTCTGTGGGGTTTGACAGCTGCCTCTGCCTCTGACAGGCTCTTCACTGCTGTAATTAACCCTACTTAGCAATCCGTCATGTTTTCCCTTTCTCCCTGTCGTTTCGTCACTTCTCCTCTTGTTTCTTTCGCAGCAAGCACTAAAGGAGAACTTCAAGCAGAGGGAGCTGGAAGAAAAACAGAGGAGAGCGCAAGCAGCAAAGGAGAAGGCTGAGCGGGAAAAGCAGGAGAGACAGCAGAAGAAGAGGAGGTTGCTGGAAGTGAACGCAGGTAGAGACTCCTCAATTTGCCTGGTCTGTCAGCTCTAGCAGATAAACCCGTTACCGAGAGCTATGAGCTATATCAATCTTGGGTCAAATGGGTGAAGGGATCATTCAAATACAATGACTCCCATTTATCAAACAAACGTCCCATTATAATGGATTAGAGCAGACGATGGATTATTTATCTCTTCAAAAAATTAAAACCCCACAGCAGCATTTGTGGGTATTTTGATTGATGAAATTGTTACTGGACTGCATTTTTCCAAACACTTTTCTTTCGTAGGCATCTCTAAGCATCTAGCAGCTCAAGCAGGCTCAACCCATTCACAAACAATTATGCTCAGCAGTTTAAACCCCTGACCTAACTGTCAGTGGACACGTCTCCCCGGAGTCACAACAAGAAAATGATCTTAAACATGAAATCAGAGCAATTAAAAAATATGTCACCCCATCTTTGTCTTCTCTACCGGAAATCACCTGGGCTAATGAATTAATCTATCAAATACGAATGAGATATTCTAACCTTCCTTCGCGATGAATAAGAAAGGTCATGTAAAACTGTGTGCAATTAGGCCAAAGCAAGTCATTGGATGAAACTGTTTTTAAGTGTCAGACCTACCAGAAGATGTGTATTTCAGAGAGGTTTTGCAAAAAACTAGTTGGACAGTTTTTAAATGATATTTTGCAGAGAGTTCATTGTGCATTACCTTGGCTATTAAAATGGCCCCTTGACCTTTGAAGAGTTTCAGATTGACATCTGAGGACATATGTAGACTAATTCAAAACGGTAGACTTTTGCATAAATATCATAATGCCCATATATGATCTACAAAGCATGCTGCGGAACCTCTAGTAGCACGATGAGTTCTAATGAAGGTCACATTATCCACATCTTTTGCCAGATAATTTGATTCCATCAGCCAGTTTTTTTTTTTTCCTTCTTCTTTTTATCCTCCCATTTTACACTGGACCGTCAACGACTGAGTGATTCCAACATGCTCAACATTCTAATGTCAAAGCCAAGGCTGGCAGGACAGTTGAACTCGCCAGAGCTATGCACTCACATCTCCAGCTACCATGCCAGCCACTGTAGCTTTACTGTCCATGTCCATGTGCATAAACAGAGCCTTAATTCTCCGTTCTGGCAAAATCGCTACTATCTAGCCAAAGCACGGCTTGTTTTGGCTGAAGTATAGTACAAACCTCCCCCTTTTCCCTTTTACTTTGATCTGGACATCCCTTAGTTGTTACAGCTTGCCACAGATTGAAGTTTTACTGTGCTTGGCTGCCATGTCATGTGATGCCAGTTGAACTAATTGAACAAATATGTCTGTTTCTGAGTGTGTGTGAAAGAGAATCCTGCAGGATGGACTGTATCCTACATAACAGCATCACAATTTAGACCAAAATTAGGCTGCCACACAAACATTTTTAGCTTTTCAATATGGCCCTGTAGTTGCTGGGCAAAGTTTGTAATTCCTTAAATATTAACATTTTTTCATTGTTTCCCCATTCTATGTGGTCTTATTTGAATTTAAGTTAGTTTAAGTTGTAATAATGCACACATATAGACGTTTTCCATGTCTGTTAGACACTTATGAAAAGGTTTGCTGAGATAAAAAAGAAAAGAAAAAGAAAGGTTTGGCTAGATTGCTTAGTGCAAGTCTATCTTTTTTCCAGCCTCTGTAGTGGTAGAAAATAATACTAATACAAATGTGTGTGTATGATTTGTTCAGTGAGATTGTGATTCTCTATACATGGGCATGAGGTCAGCTGGCTCTGTGTGAATAATGATATCAGAGATCCTGGTGGTTGCAAAGAGGTCACAAGCTGCTTCTTACAGCTGCAGGCCAGTTATGAATGTGTTGCCTTTATCTTAGTGATGCTTTATAAACTTTATTGACTGGTCTGAATATGTCTGAAAACATATGTTGGGATCTTTTTGCACATTTGTCTGAGACTGGAAGATGGCTTGGTCTGATTAGGCATAAAAGACTCTTAATGACTGTGTGCAGTTTGACAATCTTACAAGGATGGAAATGTACCAAATCCTAGCATGAAATGCTTTAGGATGGGATCATGCTCTACGGATGCTTCTGGAAGCTTGTAAGGGTGGGATGAATAATTCAGAGCCAAGAAAAATGCTCTGAAAAAATGGTTAGGTAGTACGGATGTCTTAGAAAGGAAAACATTTTAACCAAAATTTAATCCAAGCCACAGTCAAATTGAGAGTTTTTGCTAGGACTTGAAGTAAACTGGTTACTGTACTTAAATTTGCCATACTTAGAATGGACCCTGAACAGTTTTATGCAGAAAAATGGGCACAGATTTGTCTGCACATGAAATCCCCTGTCTACTTATAGTTATGCCTAAAATTTCTGGTTCATGAACCTTAGTACTTCATCAGCTATGCAGAGTATATATATTGGTATATGTGCTTTCAAATCTCATTATTATTTTGTCGCTCAACTATCAAATATAGTTTTTGATTCCCTGATTTAAAAGATAGACCAATCGCTGAGACTGACAGCTTCCTTCCCCGTTGCCAGTGTGGAGTTCTGTTTGCATCGCAAACTTTTCTTTTTCAGAGAAGTAATGCAAAACTCAGAAAGTCATAAGACTGAACTTCTGCTAAATATTGTCAGAAAGGGGCTTCTACAAATATGCCTAAAGCTTTAAATTTATTCAAATATGCAAAATTTGAGATAAAGTTGACGGCTGCATTGAATTATGTTTCTGGCCGTAAACATATGCTCAAACACACACATGGCTGCAGACACAGACTGTGTGGATGACATAAATATGTGATAGAGAGTTGTCATTGTGCTGTCAACCCCAGACAGGATTTACTTACTTTTGCTCACACACCCTCTCACTCTCTCTGTCTCTCAGCCTATTTATTAACTAAAGAGCTTTCTCTTTGTTTGTCAGGGAGGATTGTCCTCAATGGAGATTTTCTGTGTAATCATCTGATTATCCATCAATTCCGTAAAAAGCCCCAGAGAGGCTGTGTATGCACATTATGCTGAAGGGCACAGCAATGTGAGACGGCAAAGGAAGGGGGAGGGTTCACTTGGGGGAAATGATCAAATGGAATTAAGCCTCCTTACCTGGGACAAGTATCTCCATTCATTTTGGTTTTTAGCTTTGCCTCCTTATGCATTCCTGAAATGTGAAGCTATGCCCGTTTCCTTCTCATTTTCCTCCATCTCTTATACCTGCCACAGACTGGGCTTCTACCTACATTATAATATGCAGCTCGGATTTGCCATCAGTGTGTTTTGGCAGTTTGAGGGAGCGGGAGTGTCAGCTTGTGTGCATTTGCATAGAGCCCTATGGAGATTGAAATTCAGATTGAATAGGTGTTTTTTTTTTTCCCCTCCACTTTCCTCCTCCTCTTGCTGTGCCTGGCTGGTGTATGACAAATCTGTTGCATTAACTCCCAGGGTAGGCCGGGAGCAGGAATGTTTGTGGAGCGACAAATTACACATCAGAGCTTTATTTAACATTCTCTACATGGCTACAAGCTATGAACTATTAAGATGTCAAATAGAAGAACAGCGAGGGATGTAACACTGCATGCAAAAATGCTGAAAGTGTACAAGAAGCATAGGAAAAGCAATGGAAGTGGAATCTGCTGTAGAAGCGTTATCCAGTCCAAAGCAGAAGGAGTATTTGGCTCTGTCCTGTGCATTACAGTCACATAGCTGGTTTCTGTACGCTCGTGTAGACTCCAGGACAGCGGGTTTGGTTCACTGGGTTGCTGTGGGCAGCCATGTTAATGATGTCCTCTTGTCCAGACTGTGGTGTTGCCTCACATAGCTGGTTCATTTCTAAAAAAGCTGTGTCACATTAGGTTTAGTAACACTTACTGACTGTGGAGGTGACTGTTTGCACAACCAATTGCACAATCAAAATAAAAACTACTATAAATAACTACTATCAGTAGTTGATCATTTGCTTGATGTTTGATTCTATATATTTTCCAATTCTTATTATTATTTATATGTATTATTTTCAGTTGCTCTTGTTTTTCTTTTTAATTAATTGTGTACTCCTCTTACTGATGGTACGTACAAAAAACCTTTTTAAAACTGTGGAGAGAATGATGATATGAAATCTTGGTAAATATATTTTCTGATTCTGATTTAAAGGTGTCATTATTCTTTCTTTAGTAATTAGATAAAATGGATCGACTACTCTTTTCTGAAAGTACTGGTTAAGTCTGGTTCAAGCTATTCAATAGAGAGAAAGAGGGTTGACTGGCGTCATTGCACCATTTGTCTCCTAAGTGTCCCAGGACACACAGTGGTGGGTCTGCATTCATTGTGTTCCAGCAGGCCTTTTTCTCTCTTTAGCTTTTCCATTCCGTCCCGATTGACCCGATTTCTTGCCTTATTCTGGCCCACCTCTGCTATACGCTGCTACAACTGGGTCATTGTCCTGATGATAAGTGCCACATCCTGTTGAGTGAAGTGGCTGGAGACATTAGTCAAGGGCTGAATAGAGAGTAGACATCGACACGCGGACTGGTTGCTTGTCCTGACAATGGAAAGCGCTGCCCTGAACAGGCCGTGATTAAATAGATGGTGATTGAAGTTTCACTTTAGACGGGGAGGTAAGTATAGCTTTTCCCCTGTGATGGAGGTCTGGCTTCGTCTTGATACTGCTCCCAGAGTTTGTTCTTTTATTTGTTGTAAAGTAACACAAAGCTCCCCTCTGCTGTTATCTTCTCCTTGTTCTGACCCAGCACACCTGTGCTTCTACAGTTATAACTTCAGCCACATGTTTTCAGAATTTGTCTCTTTTTTTTAATATTAGGTTTGACAGTCTTTCTTTCTTTTGTTCTTTCTTTCGTTCTGGCTATTCCTGCTTACTTTTATTTTACCACCAAGACTTCTGACTGGGAGCTTTCCAGAGAGCAATGCCTCCAAAGCTGCCAGGCCTCAACTTTAAGGCAATAATCTCTTCCAAACTGAACACCTGTCGCGGAAGCTTTAAATCCAGATGTAACGGAATAGAAAAGACAGGCAAATTATGTAGAT